GGGAAGTTGCGGGTGTTTTTAGCTATTGTGTCTGCAAGGTCATTACCTTTTATACCGCAGTGTCCGGGTATCCAAAGCAGGGTCAGTTTGTCAGTTTTGTATTTGCCTTCTATGTTTCGTATTTCGCTTGTGTAATAGTTTTGGTTGTTGGTGTTGTTAATTGCTTTTAAGTAGGAGAGGGAGTCAGTGCATATAACGTATTTCCTCTATTTTGTTTGGCGTATATGCATGCGGCAAGGATTGCCGCAATTTCCGCCGTGAAAATGGAAGGGAGGGGTTTGTGCAGAATTGTTTCATTATCTGTGGTGACGCTATATGATACGCCTTTTGACTTCCAGACGACAGGCGATAGAAATATCGCCCTTTTGCTTGCAGGGGTCACTTCGGCGACACTTCCAGAAGTAACACAGAAGTGACTTCGAGAAGCATCCTCGAAGTGACACATTACTTCCCGACGGGAGTCACTTCCGCGATCCGAATGCGACATCGCCGAAGTAACTTCTGGAAATGTCGCCGAAGTCACTCCTACCCTGCAAGCAAAAGGGCGATATTCCTATCCTGTCCGTCTGTCTGTCCGGATGAACGCTGAGATCTCGGAAACTATTACTATGTTTATGCTCCTGTTTATGCGACACGGCCAAATTCATGCAATTCATCAGTCTTAGCTGACAGAGATGCCGGACCGGTGCAAAAAGGTGTAAGCGATAATTAAACCGAATATTTTTTCGATTCGCATGAAATAATCTTGCTATTATTAAAGATAAAGTGTGTGCAAGCCAGTCTAACATTTTTTCTAATAAAAGATAAAAACTAGTTTCCATTGGCACTGAATCAAAAAATAATTTGTTAAAAGTAAGGTGTAAGGTCTGGCAACTCCGATAAATATATAGAGTTACCGGAGTTTAATTGTGACAATTTCACGCGTTGAGGTTGAATTCATAGTAAACTTTCGTGCGTTATCGAATTCGTGATACTTTGTTTATGCACACACGAATCAGCCCATTTCATGAAATGAAAGCGTGAAATGGCCATCGCATAAAAGCAGTAATAAACACAGTATATTAGACCTAGGCTATTGAGATTTCGCGTGCAGATTCCTGAGCTTCTTACGCAGCGCAAGTTTGCTTCAGCAGAGTGCCACGACCACTCTAACGCCCACAAACCAACCAAAACTTTGGCTCCTAAAGTTTTGATGCTAGAATAAATTTTAACTGAAATGTATTGTCCTCATTAATACCTATCGATTAACCCAAAGAAAAAGTTTGCCACGCCCACTTTAACGCCCACAAACTTCAAAAAGTCGTAGATATGAACGCAAATATCTCAGACCCTATAGAAGATAGAGAATTGGGATTTCAAATGTAGATTCCGTGGCCTTGTACGCAGTGCAAGTTTGTTAAGCGAATGTGCCACGCCCACTTTAACGCCCACAAACCGCCCAAATCTGTGGCTAGATACAAAATTTTAACTAAAATGTATTAGTCTGGCTATCCATTGATCCAAAAAAAAGTTTGCCACGACCACTCTAACGCCCACAAACCGCCAAAGCCTGTGGCGCCCAGAATTTTCATGCTAGAAAAAAATGTTAGCTGAAATGTATTAGTCTCGTCAATACCTATCGATTGAGCACAAAAAAAGTTTGCTACGCCCACTCTAACGGCCATAACGCCTAAATCTGTCTACCGCCCACATAACCATATATTGAGATCGCGGGTAGGTGGCGCATTTCATTCTCGCTTAACTGCTTGCATATCTCCATTTCCCTTTGGACCCTTTAGCTGAGTAACGGGTACATGATAGTCGAGGTACTCCACTATAGCGTTCTCCCTTGTTTTTTATTATAAATAAAACTTACAAAAACCGATTTTTTTCGGTCACTCGTTTTTATTCTCGTCTCGTTCTATTTTCAAAACTAATATTTCTTATAACACTAGATGCAATAGCTCTGGTGGAGCCCTCGGAACCTCCCGAAAAGGCGCTACAGAAGGCAATACGGTGCGTGAAGAATTAGAGCTGCACCAAAAGCTGAAAAGGTGCCTAACATGTGCTTTTATGCTGCTTAATCGAGCGCTTAACGTGTGCTGAACGTGTGCTTTTTCTGCTGCTTAAACGAGCGCTCAACGTGTGGTGAACGTGTGTTCTTTTTGCATCTCAAAAAAGCGCTCAATGCGTGCTAGTTTTTGAGCACTACTGGGTGATGAAAAGGTGCCTAACATGTGCTTTTTGCTGTTTAAACGAGCGCTCAACGTGTGTTGAACGTGTGCTTTTTCTGCTGCTTAAAGGAGCGCTCAACGTGTGCTGAACGTGTGTTCTTTTTGCTTCTCAAAAAAGCGCTCAATGCGTGCTAGTTTTTGAGCACTGATGAACCCTAGGACATGCCTATGTTAATTTACGCACTCATTTTCATAGAAATTGTTCGCTCAGTGATTAACTTTTTGCAGTGATTGAGTGCTCAATAAGCGCTGAATGGTACTGCAGGGTTCCTTCTACCTGTTACATACTGGTATACCATTTTAATCCACGAGTAACGGGTATAACAACGTTTAAATAATATGTTTTCCAAAGATATTACATAAATCTATTTTTGTGTAAAAGTTGAAAAGAGTTTTAGGTTATTCAAATTTTATAATCTTGTCGAGAACGATTATATAATGTTTTGAAAAGATGAAGAGAGAACGTTGACGTCAAATGCTTAAACTATCTAATACCCGTTGCTAAGTCAAAGAGTACGAGGGAGATGGAGATATAACTAACTAACTAAAGTACACAGAGAAAATTATGACGTTCTCAAATTGAGAATTTGAATTCTCATTTTGAGGATGTACTCAATTTAAGTACAAAATTTGTGGAAAAAACTCATGTTGAGAAAAGTTGAACTCAATTTAAGAAAAAGAACTTGAATTGATCACAAAATTCTCAATTTGAGAAAATGTGTTCTTCAATTTCCAACTTGAGAATTAGTATTCTTATTATGAGTAACCGATAAACTCAAAAATGAGTTGCGAATTCTCATAAAGAATTCTAGAGAATTCCGTTCTGCGAAGGAGACGAGTGATGAGCGGCCTTTAGTTCGTTGCGTATATGGTTGTCTCTCTCTCACTAATGGGTGTGTAAAGTGGAGCGCGCCGCATTTGTGTGACTGTCATTTGCCGTGTGATTTAGCAAAGTCAAGACGTGCGCAAGACACAAAGCTGAAAAACTATTTTAGTGAATTGGATATTCGTGCGACCTTTCCGTACCTCGAGGGTAAGTTTTTAATTTAAACTGTATTTAAAATGTGTTAAATAATGATACAATAAACAAACACTTCAAAAATATTGCCAAAGCGTGTACATTAATATGTATGTATGTGTGATTGTAAGTGGCGTGAAGCAGTCTAGTTTTGTTAGTTTCTACGTACATTGTATACATACACATATAATTATTTAAATGCTTTTTAAATGTACATTTAATAACAATCTAATTTTATTGCTTCATGCTTATACATATATGTATGTATATATAGTTACAATATTTGCTAACAATAACGTTTTCTTTTTCAGCCTCTATTCTCTTCGCTAGACCAGACAGCTAAGGGAAAAAATATCATAACCTAGAACATGGAACATGTATATATATAACTGTATTATAAAATAAAATGAAAAACAAGGAAGAACGCTATAGTCGAGTACCTCGACTATCAGATACCCGTTACTCAGCTATATGGAGATATGCAAGCAGCAAAGCGAGATTAAAATGCGCCACCTACCGGCGGTATACAGATTTAAGCGTTATGGGCGTTAGAGTGGGCGTGGCAAATTTTTTTTTGGATCAATCGATAGGTATCGACGAGACCAATACATTTCAGTTAAAATTTTTTATCTAGCATGAAAATTGTGGGCGTCACAGGTTTTCGCGGTTTGTGGGCGTTAAAGTGGGCGTGGCAAACTTTTTTTTGGGTCAATCGATAGGTATTGGTGAGAACAATACATTTCAGTTAAAATTTTTATTCTAGCATCAAAACTGTAGGAGCCACAGTTTTGGGCGGTTTGTGGGCGTTAGAGTGGGCGTGGCACTGTGCTGAAATAAACTTGCGCTGCGTAAGAAGCTCAGGAATCTGCACGCCAAATCTCAATAGCCTAGCTCCCATAGTTTCCGAGATCTCAGCGTTCATCCGGACGGACAGACAGACGGACAGACGGACAGACGGACATGGCTAGATCGACTCGGCTAGTGATCCTGATCAAGAATATATATACTTTGTGGGGTCGGAAACGCTTCCTTCTGCCTGTTACATACTTTCCGACGAATCTAGTATACCCTTTTACTCTACGAGTAACGGGTATAAAAAAATATTTGACCCTTTTTTCTGGGAATAAGTGCAAAAGTTCTTCATTCAAGAATTTGTTTCTCATTTTGAGCGCTGGAAATTTCTCAGTATGAGAAAAGGGGATACTCGTTTCTAAAATTCAAGCTAATTTATTTCTTAAAATGAGTGCAGTTTGTACTCATATTGAAAAAAAATGTTCAAAAAGAGCACAAATGTACTCAATTTAAGTACAAATTTTTTGAGAAATTTGTAGTGAAAGTGAGTATTTTGCACTCAATGTGAGAATTTCTGTTCATGCTGAATTTTTGAGTACAAAAATACTAAATTTGAGTGCAAGTTACTTGAATAATTCTCTCTGTGTAGGCTTAGACAAGGACACAAAAACACCCAGCAGTCCTTTAGACTATTTTGTATTGTTATACGAATTTCACAATCCTTTTTATAAATACATATATCAAATAATTTCGTAGGTTTAAATACAATGGTATTGCCGCTAATGATAGACAATTTCCATCAAAGCTGAGGATGTAACAATTATTTTGTCAACAAATCGGCAATCAGGGTAATTAGTCCAGGATTTGTAAAGTAGCGTTGGCAAAACAAATAATTAATTAATCAATAACGTAATTATAATGTTTCAAAGGTGTATATAACATGTGTGGCCAGCGGAATACTTTAACATTCTAAAAAGTGGGGTCATGGCTAGACATTTTCAACTGCAGGAGAACTGCCTGCGGGCAATGGGGCATAGTGATAACGTAGACAGTACCAAAAACAGAGCATTCAGTTTGAAGCATATTAGCTCACTGCTTTTTGTTATATCGGCGCAGTATCCATTGATATCTTATGTCGTTTACAACCGTAATGACATGGAAAAAGTCACAGCATGTCTGAGTGTAGTGCTTACCAATATGCTTACTGTTATTAAAATTACTACGTTTCTGGTAAAAAGGCTGGAGTTTTGGAAAATGATTCGTCTCTTCAGGAAAATGCACGAGCAATGTAAATAAACTCGTTATAACTAACGTATAATTTTTGTAACCAAACGTATAATTTGAACAGCAAATCAAAGTAAGGGATCGCACTACGTAGACGAAGCTAATAAACTAGCATCCTTTCTAGGAAGGGCATATTGCCTGTCCTGCGGCCTAACAGGCCTTTATTTTATGCTGGGACCCATTGTAAAAATTGTCGGTAACGGTTGGCGAGACACAACTTATACCAGGGAGCTGCCTATGCCAATGAAGTAAAATTGAATTGAAATTCCTCCAAAATTTTTGGTGATTCTCTTCTTCTAGGTTCCCCTTTAACGATCTGGAAAGTCCTGGATACGAAGTTTGTTTTTTATATACTGTTCTGGTTACTATCGTCGTTGTCGCCTATGCCTCGGCCGTTGACGGTTTATTTATTTCATTCGCCATTAATCTGCGAGCTCATTTTCAGACTTTGCATTGGAAAATCGCAAACGAAGAGTTTGGGCTATCCGAAAATGAGTCCCACGCGAGACTGAAATCAATTGTAGACTATCATGTACTACTGCTTTCCTTATCCAAAAAATTACGATCAATATACACACCAACAGTATTCGGACAGTTTGTCATAACATCGTTGCAGGTTGGCGTTATAATATATCAACTCGTGACGGTATGTAAAAAGATTAGTTATAATGAGATCCCTTAAGAAAGAGTGTACTATCTTATTCAGAATATGGACTCCGTTATGGACCTTTTGTTGTATGCGTCCTTTTTCGGCTCTATTATGCTACAATTATTTATTTATTGCTATGGCGGCGAAATCATCAAAGCTGAGGTGAGATTAGGAAAACAAGTTTTATTTAATGTTTGCCTGCCTTAACTGTTTTTTAGAGCCTGCAGACTGATATTGCTGTCCGGCTCTCCCCTTGGCACTTAGCTTCTCCGAATATCCGAAGATCCTTGTCGTTGATCATTCTACAGTCCCAAAGGGAAGTGCTAATTAGAGCTGGCTTCTTTGTTGCATCCCTGGCGAATTTTGTTGGGGTAACACCATTACATTATTCATAAATATTGTTGTTACCGTGTCCATTTTTGTTTGCAGATTTGCCGAACAGCTTTATCGTTGATAACGTTAATAAAATCAATTGAGTAATTCTTAAAGTATGTTTAAAAAAACTTACATTTTGGTACAATGGTCCATAGTGGCGTATACAGAATATTTCTCGTTGCATACATTTTGAGTATCACATTTCCTTTCACTTTAATGGATGTATAATGATAATTTATAATCCCATTTATACGTTTATAAAATCTTAAAAGGTGTCGTCCTAAAGAGCCTATCTTTGTGGGCGTAGTACGTTTTAAATTAGAAAAAGGGCTTCGACTGTACCAGCGGAACTTTTTTATCTTTATCATTGTATCTATTCATACCCGTTACTCGTAGAGTACCCTTTTACCCTTTTAGTATACTATTTTCGTCGGAAAATACGTAACAGGCAGAAGGAAGCGTTTCCGACCCCTTAAGGTATGTATATTCTTGATCAGGATCACTAGCCGAGCCGATCTAGCCATGTCCGTCTGTCCGTCTGTCTTCCCGTCCGGATGAACTCTGAGGTCTCGGAAACTATAAGAGCTGGTTATTGAGATTTGGCATGCAGATTCCTGAGCTTCTTACGCAGCGCAAGTTTGTTTCAGCAATGTGCCACGCCCACTCTAATGCCCACAAACTGCCCAAAAGTGTGGCTCCTACAGTTTTGATGCTAGAATACAAATTTTAACTGAAATGTATTGTCCTCAGCAATACCTATCGATTAACCCAAAAAAAAGTTGCCACGCCCACTTAAACGCCCACAAACTTCAAAAAATCGTAAATATGAACGCGAATATCTCAGAAACTATAGAAGATAGAGAATTGGGATTTCAGATATAGATTCCGTAGCCTTGTACGCAGTGCAAGTTTTTTACGCGAAGACGCCACGCCCACTTTATCGCCCACAAGCCGCTCAAGTCTGTGGTGCTAAGAAAGCAGGAATTCCCGTTACCAGCTGTTTTTAAATTTTTCCCGCAATCACACTTAAAACAAGAGAAACGCTGAAGTCAAGTGTCTTTACTATCGGATACCCGACATTCAGCATTTTAGTTGAGAATTGATAAAAGTTAAGTTAGCTCGATAATTCGCAAAAATTCCCTCGATCCTTGCAGAACTGGCTAAAGGAGCTTCCGCATGTGAATGGACTGCATGACAGATTGGAGAGAGAGAATGCAAAGTTCGAGAAGACCCCCTCCCGCGCAACTACAATTGTTTTTCAGCAATTTAAATTTTATATTAAACCAATCGGAACTAGATAATTGAAATTGGTATTGAGTTTATTGGAGAGAGAAAGGGGGAGACAAGAAGGACAAATTGTTTAAATAGTTAATTATTCAATAGAATAAGTTAGCCGCGCAGTACGCTCTTTCTTAGCGTTGACAGCGCTTCTCATTCCCATTTTTTGTCCCGCTTTTGTTTTAGCCTGAGCCAAGAAAGAGAGAGCAAAAACTAAAAGAGACTAAAAACCTTAAAATTCATATATTTTTGGTAAACAAAATCAATCAAAAAGATCACAGCAATAAGGGGAAAAAAGAACAAATTGTTTAAATTGTTAATTATTTAATTTAATGGGGTCGGAAACGACTTCGTCACTGCGTTCCAAACTTCTGACTGAAATCATAATACCCTCTGCAGGGGTATAACAGGAAAGAAAGTTAACTTCGGCAGGCCGAAGTTTGTATACCCTTGCAGCTATAATTATTAAATTAATTTTGCAACGCAGTGAAGGAGACGTTTCCGACCCCATAAAGTATATATATTCTTGATCAGCATGACTAGACGAGTCGATCTAGACATGTCCGTCTGTCCGTTCGTTTCTACGCAAACTTGTCTCTCAGTTTTAAAGCTATCGGGCTGGAACTTTCCCAAAAGTCTTCTTTCCTTTGAAGGTAGTATATAATTCGGAACCAGCAGGATCGGTCAACTATATCTTATAGCTCCCATAAAATAATCGGAATAAAAAATGTTTAAGAAATATATCCTTGGTTTTTTTTAACATGTAACCTCCTAAGCTTGGAAATAACATTTTTTAATTCGATTTCGAATTCAATTTTATCAAAATCGGACGACTATATCATATAGCTGATATAGGAACGATCGGAAAATTGGTGGGAAAATAATATGAAACAAATTATAGCTTCGGTGTTTTTTGTTATATTATCTTATACTATTGGGAATATCATTTTTTGTACTTTTAGCATTTCGAATTTAATTTAATTATTTTAACTGCAAAGGTATACAAGCTTCGGTTTACCGAATTTAACTTCCATTCTTGTTTTACCCTCAATTTTGTGTAAAATATAACTCAGCAACAGTACACGATTCCCGATTCTACATTTTTTTTAAGAATTGCACTCTTTGTTTCTTACTGTATTCCAGCTGCGTGCTTATATTTACATAAATATTGTAGTACAATCCACTTTAACTACTATTTCTAATACAGCCCACTCCAACTATTTTTCTCGCCCTAAAATTACTGGTATGTTATTTCTAAAATTAAAAACAAAGTTACAATATCCACAAATTTACTCCAGCAAAACGTCTGCAATTAATTTACGCAGGTGACAAACTTAAACACCGACAAACAATCATAAGCAAGGTCTTTACAATTCCCGCAACGATATTTCGCTTTTCGTACACCACATATGTAAATTAAGTTTCTCACTAGTGAATTGATTAAAAAAATTTATTTTTATTTTTAACAATCACTTATTCACTATTACAATTTTACAATAGGTCGAACTTATTTAATTCACTGCTCTTGTATTTATTCTCGAATATTTGTTCTGCTCGATTCGGATCTCAAAAACGGACTGCCTGCTCTCTAGTTCAATGATCAATAATCAAACCTCGGCTTAAGAGATTTTATCCCCAAAAATTGATAAAGAGAATGACTCAAGAGAGTCGGAAAATAGGATGATGCAATTTGCCAATTAAATTCGAAGTCCAATCTTGGCCGGAAATTGGTGTTTACATTAGCGGAGTTTAGGGACCGCTTTGGGGATCTTTTTGTTTACGTTAGCGGACTCGGGACTCGCTTTGGGGATCTTTTGTTTACGTTAGCGGACTCAGGGCTCGCTTGGGTCTCCGATTGTTTACAATATCGGTTTGGATGTTTACAGCATCCGTTTGATTCGGACTGCGTGAAATTGATCTGGGTGGGAATGATTTGGAGGCCTGCTTGGCAGAAATAGCTGACCACGGATTTATCTCGGGTCTGTCAGAGTTCTTTGGAAATTAGCTCTCGGCTCAAAGTTGTTTATAAATTGGGTAAGAGCCCCTAAATAATGTGTCATATAACTCCCCCCATTCTAAATTGAATCGTCCCGATTCATTGGAACTGTTGGGTATATTGAATGTAATTGATTGGTTAATTCGACAATGATATTTTCTTCTAGGGTATTTTCATTGTCGGGTGTATTATTTATCTCAATATCGGAAATATTGCTTTCTGGTTCGATTTCTATACGAATTTGCCATGGTTTGAATATTAAAAATTTTCTGAATTTGATTATAATCATAATAATTAAATATATTAATGTTAATATGATTAATATTAACGTAACTGGTATTTGAGTTTGTTTAATTTGAATAAATGGATTTAGTACGTTAATATTATCAAATGAGAGTTCCGAATCATTAGATATAATATATTCGGATATTAAAAAATCTGTATATTTTCGAGCTGTGATGTATTCCAATATCTTATTGTCTACATTGGTGTAGGAAATATTATTAATTATAGAGGTGCCATTAAAAGTTATTAAATATGACCCATTTAAATGAGTGTCATTAACTGTATTTTCTCCATTTACAAAAATGGCTCCATCTTGGATTACATCTACTTTTTTATTTTTTTCTCTGATTTTGTTACAAAAAGATTTTTCTCCATTTAGTAATCTGGTGAAACAAGAACCTTCTGGGTTAAGTGTGCAATAATTGTTAAATATTTCTGTCTTAAAATTAGACATTACATAGTACTTATTTCTACATTTTGCGACGTGATTATCAATTTATAATTTTCCATCATCATGTGAAATGGATCTTGAATTGTAAACGTCACAGCGATCGGTAATAATAGGGTATTTTATGTAAATTATAATAAGATCTTGATGCAAAGCGATTTTAAATTCAGATATATCTAAAAGGTCTGTTATAACTACAGGTCTATTTTCGTGTTTATAAATTTCTTGTATATCGTCGTTGTTTAGAATTTTAGTATTAAATACATCGATTTTGGCGAGTGTAATTGTGTCCATTAAATTCATAAGATCGTAAGTAAGCAAACGCAGACGATATTTTCTAAGCGGAATTTCTTGATCTTTAAAGGCTGTTTTGAATTCTTCAGATAAAGATTTTATCTCTTTAAATATTTTAGAATTAATAACGTATTGATCGTTATTATTTTGTATTAAATCATCGATTTTATTTTGAACAGTTATGAAATCATCATGGTCTGGTGTTCCCGCTATCCATTTCCAAATAGTGCCTATTTCATTAATGCCTCTTTTCGATCTACTGGGTATAATTTGGGAGATAAGTATTTGGATAATTTTTAAATCGTGGGATATTTCCCAAAGAAAATTGTTGCTGTCGTGACTCTTCAGAAATTCTGTTTCAAGATTAATTATATCTCTATAAAGACTTATATTAGTTATATGAAATAAATCTGCGTATGATTCATAAATAAGAACATCTTTGGTATCCTTGTAAAGAAGGAAATCATGGTTCGTGTAATCCATAATTTCGGATTTGGTTGTAGCTACCAGCAGTAATAAGTACATTATTGAAATCATTATCTGTAATTTGAAACAAATTATTTTATATTATCTTTATGAATCGTACGGTTTCTGTTATTTATAATAACTTTATTAGGGAGATTTTCCTTAACTACTTGTTTTTTGTATCTAGAATTTAGCTTGTTTCTTTCCCCATGTTTCTTTTCGTAAATTACCTCTCCTACGTGATAATTCTTATTTTGTCTATCTTTATTGTGGGAATGCAACATTTTCTCTTGAGCTTGTTGCAATAATTTAGGCATATCTTCGTGTTTGATTTTATTAAATAGTATGTCAAAAGGTCGTTGGTTGGTAATTGAGTGAATTGTTAAATTATATTTTTGTGCTGCTTTAATAATAATTTCGGAATAATCAACTAAATTAAGCTCATCCTTAATGCAGCGAGCAATTTCTGTTAAAGTAGAGTGTGCCCTTTCTATTTGTCCGTTGGACGTACTATGTCGAGGATCTGCAAAGAATAGAGATATCCCATTTCTTTGAGCAAAGGATTTGAATTGGGATGAAGAGAAACTTGGTTCGTTATCTATCATCAAAGATTTGGCTAATGGAAATTGTTGTAAAATTTCTGAAACTTTATTTTCTATATTTAGTTTGTTAGGGATTTCTTTTACGACCAAATATTTCGAATAGGAATCTATACAAGTAATGAATATAAGATTTTGGGCGTAATATATGTCAAGATGCAAATTTTCACCTTCTCTTTCTGGAATAGGCGCTTGACCGATAGGAATCTGTACTGGGTGTCTGTTGTATTTGTTTTGATTGCAGATTGTGCAATTCTTTATAAATTCCTTAAGCTTTTTGTATAAATTAGGCCAATAATAGAGTCTAGTTATTTGCTTATAATTTTCATCAAGCCCTCTATGAGCTCTACAATGAGTTTCTGTGATAATCACGGATCTGTCTTCAGCGTCTTCGACATCCTGGACAAATGTCTTAGTGTATAAAAATGTATTTATAAAATTGTCTTTAAGTGGTTTTTGAATTCTATAAAAATCTTCTAGAGTACAGTGAACTCCTATTGTTATATTGGGTGGAATATATTCTCTTAATATTGATATTAAATTTTCTGGAGTATCATACTCTATTATATGTCTAGTATTTCCGAATACATTAATCGACTCATGTATTGTATACCTCCCCGTGCTATTAGCAATTGTTGCTTAAATTGGTTTAAGGGTTTTCGGGTTTCTTGTATAACATTCTCAAAACTACTCTCTGCTGAATGCTGAGTATTTTGATCTGAGACCGATTCATTACTTTCCGTTAAGTTATTAATTTGTATCCTTGATAAAGCGTCCGCAACAACATTTGTTGCTCCTGGCTTATAAATTATTTTGGGTGAATAGCTTTCAATAAAAGAATACCATCTTTTCATTTCGATATTTGGATTTTTTTGAGAAATGGAAAATGAAAGAGGTTGGTGATCGGTATAGATCTCGATGTTGTTAACCCCATATAAGTAATTACGAAGGTTTTTAAAAGCCCATACTATGGCTAAAAGTTCCTTTTTATTTGTCGCGTATAATTGTTCAGTTTTGGTTAGAGTTTTTGAAATAAATGTGATTGGTTTTCCTTCCTGGGAAAGAACCGCACCAATTGCTAAGTCAGACGCGTCAGTTGTTAGGGTAAATTTT